GCATGCATGCACGCACGCACGCACGCACGCACGCACGCACGCACGCACGCACGCACACATACATACATACATACATACATACATACATACATACATACATACATACATACATACATACATACATGAGGAGGAAAATGTGCTGGAGAGGAGGGAGAAAAAGATGTGCCACTGACATCTTTCAAAATAATGACCAACAAGCTGTTTTGTGCACATGCACATGACTCTGATAAGGAGTTAGGAATAAAGAAAGAAGAGTTCTCTGAACACCTAGGACAGTTCTCTCCCAAAGGCCCAGGTGTATTCTTGGAACAATGGGTCAGATCTTTCATGTTTAAATCCACAATTTTTTCCTAAACCTCAAAGTATGGGTGAGTTATAAATAGAATAAATAAAATAAATAAATAAAATAAAACAAGGTATTGCTTATAATTCTCATTTTTATCTTTCTCCTTTAAAAGGTGCCAAGCAGACACTAGTAGGTACGTTTAAAAAACTATCTTCCATTTTTAATCACAACTTGAATTACATTCAAATACCACATGGCAGAAAATCCAAACTATATCAAAGGGTAGCTGAAACAGAGCACCGAAAACTCTGTACCAGTCTGGAATTTAGAATCAATAAAGCAGATATAATCCTAGTTTTACATCTGAAGTCTTTGCATTTTTTTATATGTCAGTCGCGTGGATGTTAATAGAATTCAGTTGTATATTTTAGTATGTATCACTCCACATATTGCTTCTGTTTGTGGAAAGTGGGGAGGGGATTTTTGATTTCTCCCTTCAACCTGCAGCCACTTGTTCATCCGGAGAATTTGATCTGGAGGATCAGTGGACCTTCAGAACAATGTAGAAGGTGGAGCTGGGGATTGCAGAAGAAAGGGGAGATTCCCACTAGATGCTTCCCCTCCCCTTTCCATTAACAGGTTCTTTCTACTGCAGGGTTGGGCAAAGTGCCCACAGGCCATTCTGCAGCTCCTTCATAAAAAACAGTTTTAAAAGAGCCCATCCCTGCTCTACTAAATTAAAAGCTATCTGAGGATTTTAAAAACCCCTTTCTTGCAGGAAGAAAAGGTTTAGAGGCAATTCATAGTCCTTGGTAATTGTTCTCTTTTCTGCACACTTACTCATTAATTTTAAATATTGTTTAAGAAAACAAACTATTTTCATATTATGGTGTCCTAGATCGATTTTGAAAAACAGAAACTATGTATTTGGAGGCCAAAATTATTATTATAATTTATTTTCCTTTCCCATCCCACCTAGCTCATATTATAGATGAATCAAATGGAAAGTATCATCTGACAGAAAGCTGTTTGGAAGAGACGGGTGGATTGGGAGTGGATATCATACTTGATGCAGGAGGTCTGTATCTACTTTAGAGCTCTGTTAGTGCAATGATTCACTAACAAGTTCTATAGTTTTATTAGATCAAAATGTTTACATAATGAAGTTTACTCCAGCTGTATAAAATAACTTGTTTAATGCAGAGTGATACAAATTTTCTGTAGTTAGGGCATGAGGCCCTTTCTGTTGAAACAATACAAATTGTATTTCTTATAAAAATCAAGATATTGACTGAGACCCAGTAGTAAATTATAACTAGAGTAGGCCTGTTATCAGTGATGATTTAGTTAATCAACACCTGTGTAAGTTCCATTGATTCAATACACCCGAGTGGTGACTTACTACAGTCGTGCCTCGCTTTATGATTGCCCCGTATAACGACGGATCCGCTTAAAAATGCCTTTTTGCAATCTCAAAAGCGATCGCAGAATGATGCTTCCTATGGGCAAAATCCGCTGTGCAATGATCGGTTCCCTGCTTCGGGAACCGATTTTTCACATTACGACGATCAGCGAACAGCTGATCGTCGGGTTCCCAAATGGCCGCCAGCTGAAGAAAATGGCCCCCCGCTGTTTTCTAGGATGGATTCCTCGCTAGACAGGCACCGTAAATGGCCGCCGTATGGAGGATCTTCGCTGGACAGTGAGTTTTTAGCCCATTGGAATGCATTAGCCAGGTTTTAATGCGTTTCAATGGGTTTTTTATTTTTTGCTTTACGATGTTTTCGCTCTACAGTGATTTCGCTGGAACGAATTAACATCGTTAAGCGAGGCACTACTGTAATGGATTTCAGCCAATGACATATGGATTAGAAGACAGCTTATCCTGTTCAACATATTCATTACGTATAAATGCCTGTGGAAACGCAAATGTAGGAAACATTTCTGTAGGACTGTTCTTTATTGCCTAGAAAAGACTTACAGAAATGTTGTCATTGACATAATATTCTGTTCCTTTGTTATCTATTACATGTGACTACGTGTGAAATATTTTTAATATGTGAGACTACTTACGCGAGGCACTAGTTAGGGGAAGAGGCTTAACTGACTTCTGTGATGGTTGGAGTATGAATGAATTTATAATAGCTTAACTTTTCATTCAGATCACAGGTTTCTACCTTCTGAAACCAGTCTAATTTGGAAGTTAGCAGAACTGAATTTTGTAGGTATTATTGTCAAAATATGTATGAGGGAGCATTTTAGAATTATAAGATGAGACTGATATATTATGCAGGCATTAAATGATTTACTGTTAGTTATATTTACTGTATATCCTGCAGTGACCCCAGGGTATCATGTATAGCTCTTCTCTTCCCCACATCAAGGCTAGATCAAACTGAGAAACAGTGACTGGCCAAATGAGTGTCATGGCAAAGTGAGCCATGGATGTTGCAATTCATCAGTCTATGTTCTCTTTTAAGAGTTTTAAAACCTTGTTTAATAGCTTATGCTGTAACCAGTGGTGCCATAATCAGCTCCAGATGTTTCTGGCTTATGGCCTGGGAAGAAACTGCAGGAGTCCATGGACAAAGGGCTTGGATTTCTTCTAACAAGGGTGCCACTTGTTTATTTTTACTGACCTTAATCATTTTTGTTGCTGACCTTTGGAACCCCAGCAGAGCAGGAAAGAGAATGGGTTAGAGATCACACTGGAATGCACTGGATTAGTGCTTGGCTACAGTAAAATGTTACACCTAGTTTATTGTGTTTCTTGCCACCAAGCCAAGAGTGTGTGCTGATCAGAACATTTCTGTTGTCTTAGCTGACATTCCTTGCTTGTCTCCTGGGCATTAGGGAAGTAGTGATAAAGGTGAATTAAGAATCATGTTACTCCCTGGGCAAACACCCAACTTTGCCAGATGCTGTCACCCAGTATAAATAGTGCACATTGGGAGATCAACTAAACCAAATAATTAAAAAAAACTTTGCTGGATAATTCTGTTTGCCAGTGTTACAGAATAAAAATGAAAGTCAATACTATAGAATATGGTGTATTTACAAAGAGGAGGGATGCGGAATTTGTGGCTGCCCAGATACTGTTGAAGTCCAGTTCCCATCAGCTGTAGGCACCCTAGCCAGTGATGAAACACAAAGGGAGTTCAGTTAGAGTACAATAGCATTTGAAGGCCACGGGTTCTCTAGTCCTTTACAAAGAAAAAATAAATAAATCCTGACTATATTAAGCATATTACTAAGAGTCCGAAAGATACAGGCAAACCAAATGTAACTTCTGTTTTTTTAAGAACTTGACTTAACTTGCTCTTTTTTTAGTGCGGTTATACAATAAAGAAAACAAAGAAGCAGTGGAAGAATCGCTGCCACACAAGCATGACATAATTATGCTGCTCAGTGTTGGAGGCCACTGGATTACAATGGAAGAAAATCTTCAAGTAAGAAGAAATATCTGAAATCACTGTATATTAGTATAGAGAAATTGATGATTTATGGAAATAAAACTGTACAAATCAAATTTCTCTTAAAGGAGGAATCTTGCATAAACCTATAAATAAGCTCAATTGAACACACACAGATAGACAAGATATATAGGATCATGCTTCAGAAGAATTGCATACATGTTGGAACAATGCATGAACCAATATAGCATGAGCAGACTAACCCCACCCTCTGATGCATATGCATACAGCGTAACTGTTTACAAAAAGTAAACCTTTAAGAGTACAGGTGTAAACACTGAGGGTTCTAACTAATCAGGAACCTTGTAGAATCAGGGTTCCAGATCACCTGGAAGGCTCCCTCCCTGCAGATGGCCATGCAGATACCTTGGCTGGGACAATTTATGTAAAGAGTTAAGGCACTCTCACTATACCAGCAAATCATTTCAGTTACATGAGCCACAATTCTAAATCAGGCTAGTGCAGACCTGGGCAAAGTGCGGTCCGAGGGCCACATACGGCCCGCGAGCTGCCCCTACCTGACCCGCCGGACATCAAAACCATGTATAGCTTTTTGTCTAAAGTTGATCAGTTGCTTATCTTTAACATACCGCAAAAAACCCTCTTTACTATTTGTGAAAATTAACAAGCTTAAAATAAAAACAATCATAACATCACTGTTTCATTTTATTTTCAAGTAAAGTTGGTTGGGCCCCCGAACACAGTTCAGATTTTTCATGTGCCCCCCCTATAGAAATTAATTGCCCACCCCTGGGCTAATGTCTAATACACATTTAGTGCCAATCCTTGCTCTTATGCTAGGTCTGAAATTTACTAGTGTAATTTCAGTTGCTGTAGTGCTGAATGATATAATTGTCTCTGGCTCAGAATGACTTGTTCTGAACTTTCCAATATTATATATGTTAAAAAGCAAAAAAAGAAAAAAAAGAAAAAAAAATTCACATATTTTGACCCTTTTCATTATTTATTACCTGAAAAACAGTGTCAACTGACCAGAAATGTACTTCATTCATTTCATTTCCTTTTTCTATAATGTATGACTAATTTTAACCTTTTTTAAAAGTTGGATCCTCCAGATAGTCGTTGCCTTTTCCTCAAAGGTGCTACAGTCTCTTTTCTGAATGATGAAGTGTGGAATTTGTCAAATATTCAACAAGGGAAGTATCTATATATCCTTTTTGTTTTGATATTAAGATATTTATACACTGTTTTTTAGACCAACCATACCAAATGGTTTACATACAATTATTAAAACAGAGAACACAGAGAATACTGTGTTTTTTTTCAAAATTATTTCTGTTGCTTCTTTCCTCTTGGCAAGGCCCTGTCATGGTAGCAGGTGGTACAACACTGTACAGTGGTGCCTCGCACAACGAGTTGTTTCACACAACGTTGATTTTTTTGGAACCAATTAACATCGTTGTGTGAGGCACCACTGTATGCTGGACAGTGGCAGTTTTTCAGGGTATTTTGAGCAACACTGTATGTATGTGGGTACATGTATGGATGTACATATGTATCAGAGGTAGGCAAATTGTGGTCCTGCAAATGTTGCAATGGCAATCCCAGCAATCCTCACAACTGGTTTATGCTTTCCAGGGCTGATGGGAGTTGCAGTCCAAAAGTACTGTATATGGAAGGCTGCCTACTGAAGCATATATATTTTAATCCTTTATTTTCTACTTCAGACAGATATTAAAAGCACCCAAATATAACAAAACCACAATTGTAAACAATTAAAATAATCAGAGTTACAAGTTGATCAATAAGTGACCCAAAGATCATGAGAACAAAATGTATGCTATTTTTTTTTCATTTTCTGTGGGATCATTTAATTTCTTGTAAACTACATTCCAGTCTAGCATGAAATTGTGGTTTGAAGGACTCCACCCTGTATTTTATATTGCATTGCAGACACCAAATTCTGCTGAATCATTTTATGCAGTTCAGGAAATCAGCCTGGGACAGTAATAATTTTTAATTCAGTTACCACATTTCAACAGTCATTTTTAACTGAGTGAATGGCAACTTTTTCCTTACTAGGAAAGTACATAGTAGCTTAAGGATAGGCAAATACATTGACAGTCTTAGATTAGAAACCTGCTGGCAGATGCTGCTGTCTGCAATCCTTGTAAATGTTGGATGCTTCAGAAATGATGGTAACGTGCTAAAACACTGTTGTGAATTTGTACCCAGAAAAAAACTATCTGTAGCAAACTAAAGACCTGCACTCAGTCCTAGTCTTGTTAACTCAGGAACAAGTTTCTCTAATTTCAGTAGGACTTGGTTTGATGAGTTTGCAGCTGAGCCATCTTCTACACAGTTTTTTTCCTTAATAGTTTGTTCTTATACGCATTTTAGAAGATATAATGGAGAAATTATCAAGTGCTGTTTTCAGGTAAGCCTAATATTCCACAGCACTTTAGCATACACTTACTACAAACCAATATACAGTACCTCTGTTCAGGCTACACTGAACTCAGGTAAGGCTTACTTTTAGGTAAGTGAATATAAGATTACAGCCTTAGTAGCCTTATCTTTCAGGGAATTCCCACTAGCTATAATGCAATGATCTGTGAAACTTGTCTTAGTCCACTATACTTTCAACTTGGTTTTCATGAAAAGCGTACAATGCGAAAACTATTTTTTGAAACTAGAGGAGGTTTTAAAAGCTCTTCAGTCTGTTTAGCTGGAATTTGCTGGCAGTGGCAGAGGCCTACTGGTGCTGGTAGAATATACCCCAGGGTCACTATGAATGAGGCCAAGTGTTTTGAAAAAAAAAATAAAGCATTTCTTAAAATGTCATTGAGAAACTTGACCATTCAAAGTTCCTGCAGTCATAGCTGTTCATTCCAAATGTTGAAGCAAAATGCTTAAGTCAGGTTAGGAAATGACCAGGAAGACATATATTCGCGAAGGTGAATGGATGTTCTGGGTTTTTCGGGCTCTTTGGCCATGTTCTGAAGGTTGTTCTTCCTGACGTTTCGCCAGTCTCTGTGACCGGCATCTTCAGAGGACAGCAACCTATGCTCTGGTGTAGTTGGCTTGGGAGTGCAGTATTTATGGCTGTGAGATAGGCTTTTGTCTTTTTCCTGTAGGTGGGTGATTAGTATGTATTGTTGTGGGTGTATTGTTGTGCTAAGGGGAAGAGATTATCTGTTCCTGTGGTTGATGGGTGTCATTAGCTAGTCTTTTGTGTGCAGTGATCCCCTGTCCTTGTGGGTGGGTAGAGTTTGTTCACTTTTTGCACGTAGTATGTTTGATAGCTGGGAGCCAA